ACGATTTTAGGACGGCAACACGACGACGACGGCCAAAACAAACTCCTTCGAATAAATGGTAGTATTAATTAAAAGACAATTCGTGGTATATTACCAATCGTATGAATTTAATACAGTCTTTTTAGAAGTTGAAGTCAGACATAGGTCCTATGTTTGGGAAGAGTTCTGCCGAAGCCAGTTTGAAGTTGCATTTGTTGTGGCTTGAAATGCAGCTGTTGTATCAAGACGTGAAAATCTGTGATTTGGCGTTGTAAACAAAGCGAGGATAATGTCTAAATTATTCATATATTGCAATTATTAAATTCTTTTTAATTATTTATTGTATTTGCATGTAGCCGTTGCTGTTCTAAATCGTAAGGTGCGTATTTAAAAATCAGGGAACCATGCAAGGTAAGCATGGTTAAACATTTTTCGAGTATGCGAACGTATGCATGCACATGCATGCATGGTTTACGCTACTCATACGTTTCTCTCATACGCAATAGCGTGACAGGACCTTAACCGAGATCAGCAAGTAATTGCAGATCTTAAAAAACATAAAAATATTAAACATGTATAAAATATTTGTTTAATTTTATAGTGGCAAAATAAATCTGCACTATGTCTATGATGAGAAAAAGTGCTCCTTCAAAGCAATCCTATAAATTGGCACACATATGATATATCCTTTCCTGCACTTTTCTTAAACACTTTTGACTTTGTTTATATATATCATGCATGTAGTATTTAATGATACCCATAAACGTAAAATTTCAACCATATATAATTGCTGGCATATTTATTACTTACTCTCTATCCAAAAAACAGCCATATTTGAAACATAATGAACAATTTTGTATGTTTTTAACGCGAAAAATTTAAGTAAATACATTAACAACTTATAGCTTATAATTAGTCGAATTAGCGAAAATTGACTATATTCATGACGCGCTTATCAGGTGAAAAACATACTGCCCAAAGATTTTATTCTTTATTCTAGTAGATGTGTCATAATACTCAGTAGCTGCAATAGATTGGGTACATGATACCGTTGCACTTTTGAGAAAAAATAATTTACCGCCAGCATACTAACACGAATATTGAATCCGCTGTCTGAAAGATGTTTTTAAAAATACACAATATTTTGTTTGCTTCAAGTGATCAGGATAATTTTTAGTTTAGGTTTATGCCTAGGCAGGAAATAATAAAATATATAAGTTTCAAGAAGTTAGAATAAAAGCGCGAGATGAACTGTGAGATATAAAAAAGCTCAAATATCACTTGCGTAATTAACGTTTTGACTTGTTTTCGAACGCGTCCGAAAATAATTGCGAAAAAAAATTTAAAACTGACTACAATTTCAAAGTCAACGTTTTTTGTTCATTTTATCAATGACTTCTTCCACACAGAAAGTTTGAAGGAAATCTGTAATCTTAAGAAATTCGAGTGGTCGGTTTTTACACGGACTGCCTCTTAACGTTCCAAGGGCCAAAACTGATCGGTTTATGAATTCTTTTATTGTTAGTAATTGTAAATATTTTTAATCATTAGGTTTCTTAAATTTTTATAATTGTAAAGTTTTAACACAATTCAGCCATTATCAGCTGTAAAGTCTTTTAAAACTGAATAAATCATCTATCTATCTATCTATCTATCTATCTATCTATCTATCTATCTATCTATCTATCTATCTATCTATCTATCTATCTATCTATCTATCTAACTCTTCGTCAGGGTTGTAGTACTTCAGCACCGGTGTTGCAACCACCATACGTTTGATCTTTTCAAAGGCAGCGTTGTGCTCATGCATCCATTTCCATTCTGCTTCTTTATGTGTAAGCTGTCGTAGTGGCTCCATCACATCGGATAAATGTGGCATGAGCTTTGCCAGATAATTGATAAATCCACATAATCTTCGTACGTCCTTTACGGCTGTAGGTTTGGGCATGTTAACTATAGCGTCGATTTTATCTGGATCTGCTTTCAACCCTTCAGAGGTTACGAGATGACCCATAAATGGAATCTCTGTACAACATAACTCCAACTTTCTTCTGTTGAGCTTCGCCCCCTTTTCCCTACATGTTGTGAGAAAGTTCATTAATTTGCTATTATGATCGATTGTTGCTTCTTCAATGGTGTCACCTACTCCGTATATCACCATGTCATCATGTATGGTGAGCACTCCTTCTAGTCGTTCTAAGGCTTGGTGGATCCTTTTCTGAAAGATCTCTGCTGCAACGCTGATCCCGAACGGTAACCGTTTCCAACGATATCTCCCGAACGGCGTGTCAAATGTCGTCAACCTACTGGACTCTTCGTCCAACATGACGTGCCAATAGCCATTCCGCGCGTCTATCTTTGTAAAAACTTTGGCTTTGGCTATATCTGGCAAGACTGGCGTCACATCTTCAATGACTGGTATGGGATACCTCTCACGTTTGAGGGCCTTATTCAGCTGTTTTGGATCGATGCAGATGCGTAGTTCACCAGATGGTTTTGTTGCCACGACCATATTGCTGACCCAGTCTGTGGGTTCATCAACTGGCTGTATAACCTCAAGATTTGTTAGTCGCATTAACTCGTCTTTCATCTTCGCTTTTACGGCAAATGGCACTCGTCTTGATGGCGCTGTCGTCGGTTGTACCGTTGGATCTACTTCGAGATGTTGTTCTCCTTCTAGCGTACCCACTTCTCCTTCGAACACGTCTGCAAATTCTTCAATTATTCGGTTCATCACTGTCGTTGTTGACTGTTTACTTGTTGTGTCTTTGATTCCTGTATTTACCTGGGCTACTTGTTCAAAGTTCTCATTATGTATTTCGACAATTCCCATGCGTTGAATCGCTTTAGCCCCGAGTAATGGTGTCAAATTCTCTTGAACTGCCATAAATTCTACGGAATATTTCTTATCATTTTTCGGATTTCTTATTGTAAGACGGCAAGTTCCCTTTGGCTTTAATTCTGTCTTGTTCCACATCTGTAGAGTTCTATCTGTCGGTTCGATGTTTTCACCCGCTAAGTACTTCATAGGTAACACGTTTACCGTTGCCCCGCAATCGACATGGAATTTAATTGGGTTGCCTCTCACGATCATTTTAGCGTATACTTCTTTCGATGGTTGTTGACTAATCAAGCTTATCTTATCTGGTTTCACAGTCACGCTATCGATGTACTCGGAGTCGGAGCTCGACTCTGCTTCTTTCACTTGGTTCGTATTGTCTCTCCTGCGTTGTCTGCATTGCTTTGCGAAATGATTCCGCTTTCCACACGAATTACACGTCTCACCCCACGCTGGACACGATTCTCGTCCAAACTTGTGCTTTCTACCACAATATCCACACGCTTTGTATTGTATTGTATTGTATTGTATTGTATTGTATTGTATTGTGTTGAGTCTTGTTTGAATTCGCCATAGTTTGCTTTGTTCCGTGCTCCGCCCCCCTTTGTTCTCGATTTGGTTGAATGAACTTTGTTTACTTCGTCTAATTTATTCTGTTCGCCCATCTGTCTAATCTGCGAATTAGTCGCTTCAAAAGTTCGGCATATTTCAATGCTTTCTTGTAGATTCAATTTCGAATGTTGTAGCAGTCGTTTCCGTGTACTAGCATGGGCTACCCCCAGCACAATTCTATCGCGAATAAGTGAATCGTGCAGGCAAACACAGAAACCACATGTTTGTGCCAATGCTTTTAGTTTAGCGACGTACTCATCAATAGTTTCCCCGTTTTGTTGGGCACGGCTGTTGAAATTGTATCTTTCATACGTTTCATTAACTTGGCCAATCGCATACTTGTCAAACTCGTCAATAATCTTTACCAACTTGCGTTTGTCCTCGGGCGCTAGATCGAAACTATTGTAGACTTTCACGGCTTCTTGTCCTATGCAGTATAGGAATAATGCGACTCGATATTCTTCTGGTTGTTTGTCTAGCTGTGTCACAATTATGTAGTTCTCCCAGCGTTGTTTATATGCCTTCCAATTCTCGGCTTTATTTCTTGATTTCAGATCCAAACCCGTTGGCGGTTGAATCCCATGTATGATTGGAGCGTTTGTCGCTTGTTCGACTGCCATCTAGCTTTGTCTTATTCCTTAGATCTCCTTATATCTTTCTATCCCACCGCTGCTACCATGTTATGTTTTTATGCAGTAGTAATAATACTAGGTGTCCAAATACTTATATACAAAGTCATGTGACACATGTCACATGATTAATTACGTAACAACTTTTACATATTGATAAATGGCTAAAGACGATTTCAACCAAGTTTCATCAAGTTTTGAAACAGAGCAGTGTATTTTATCTTCGATATTTCGTGAAATATGGCGCCATTGCAATGGCTCGCTATTTCTCAACCCGATAAATGCCACTTCTTCGTCTTCCTATGTATTTAGATTACAGTATGGAAGACTACTTCATTGTAGAATAATCCCAATCGAAAAATTGAAAACATTAGTTGCTCTTGGAAGGAAAAACATCCCACAACACTTGTCACAATCCAAAAGAAGTAATTTAAAAGTCGCGCGCAAATTCGCGAAAACTCCTCGTTGGCTACATGACAGGGGTGTGAATATTTTCACGAAACGTTTATTCGCCATCACAGCAAATCAACAAAATACATTATATTTATTGTATTTTTATGATTTGCGACAGAAACAATAAATATTTGCGTATTTTATCATCAATCATAAAAATACAATAAACAGAATTCCTCTAGCCAACGGCGCGGAGCACTGTTCCGGGCGTTAGCCCGGGGCGAGGATACTAATTCCGCCCGGCTATTTACACCCGTGGAAAGGGAAGCATTAGCGAAGTCTAAAGTTCATAAATGATCGCGGGCGTGGGTCACCAATCGTGGGTCGTCATTCTCACTGATCACAAAAATATGGCTGTTTGCCAGGAGTGGGATAAGCAAGATTTCAATTTTCAAAAGAATATATTATTTGGAAAATTACGTTTCACACAATGAGCTTTGAAGCAATTTTTGTTTGAGGAAATGAGAAGAATTGATTTACTATGGGAAATCGTGAAATATAGGGCAAGTTTTCTTTGAATGTTTAATGTTTATGAATTTTGTTGCTTTAATTTATTGCTTAAAACATGCACTGCTTTCCTTTTCAATGAAGCTGTATTAAAGTTTTCTAAATCACCCTGTTTAATTTAAGAAAAAAAGGTAAAATGTAAAGGAGAGCAAATTAATTTGAAAACCGAACTGAAATTACTCAACAATTTAAACTTATTTTGTTTTATAAAAAAAAAGGTAATCGAACTTAAGCGCGCTATTATACGTTAATTACTCGGCGTATGAACAATTGGTTTTCATATTCGGAAAGATCATGTGGAGAAATGGCAAGTGGAGAAAAAATAAGCATGTACGAGGCCGATTAAAAATATTAGTCCAGATCGCATATTTTCACCTCTGTGCCTAATTAAAACAATGCATAACAAAAGAAAAAGCAATTAACCACGAACGTGTCGTAGCTTAGCTAAGATTTATTCCTACTTAATATAATTATGAATATGTGCGTCGTTTATTTAAGTGAAATTCATCAACTTAAGTACCAAAGGGGGTAATTCATTTTCAATGGTTTTAGACCCAACTCTCAACGGTGAAAATATGAGATTCTGACTATCATTTTTAATCGGATTTGTATTTGCTCATTTTTTAACTGTTTGGCATGAAGGAGATATCATTCAACAGCTAAAAGCATGATCTTTCCGAATGTGAAAAAATCTCGTTCATACGCAGAGTAATTCAGATACAATAGCGCGCTGAAGTTCGATTACGTTTTTTTTTATACACCCTGTATAGTTAAAAGCAATAATCTTTCAACTATTTTTGCCGTGTTGTGCAAAAAATATAATAAAATTTAAATTTATCGTGTTGCCATGGCAACACTGACGTGAACGCGAGCCTGCGTTCAGTGTTGATCAATTACTAACGCTTAGTTTGGAAAATACATGCGAGGTGTTGCTGCATGCATGTATTTCTAGTTAGTTAGATGCTTGTGATGTTATTATAAGTAATAGCATGGCTTGAGGGAGATTAGTGATTAAATGGCCCCGTAACCCGAGGCAGGTTTGCGGAATTCCGCAAACCTGCCGAGGGTAAGGGGTCATTTAATCACTAATCTCCCGAAAAGCCATGCTATTAGTTTGTAATAGCATAGTTGCGCTCCCATTTAAAAATGGACAAACATGCCCTACTTGGAATCAGCGTATTTAAGCTAAAACATTTGCTTCATTGCTTGTGGAATGTAAAAGCTTGTTGCACATGCGCACTTTTTACGCTTTAATCGGTTACGCATGCGCAATCTATCATTTAACGTACCACAACAAAAACGCTAAATATATTAGTATAAATTTGGAGACTACACGTGCGTAATTTAAATGATGCGGCAACTCAGGGATCGGATGATAGACTATTGACGGCTCTGAGCTAACTGTTGCTGCCCCTTGCACGATTATGTGCGTGAGGCACTTGCCTAATGCGTAGTCGTCAGGGAGACAAAGGTGTGACCCTTGGTAACGGGCGATTAGTTGTAATCGCCCGCTGCAGCGGGCGATTAGAACTAATCGCCCGCTGTAGCGGGCGATTAGTTAGTAATC